GCCAAGGCCCTGTATTCTGCTTCTGAACTGGATTTGGATACTGTAGACTGCTTTTTGGATTTCCAAGATATGAGGGAATTGCCAAGGAACACACAATATCAAGTTACGGATCTGCGGGTAGCGTGGCAACTTGCCTAATCTGAGTCTGCGAAGCCAGAGAGTTTGAGTGGAGAGGAAGATGAATAGAACAAACCCTTGGCAGGAGCACCTTTGAGATATTTGAGTACTCGAATTGCTGCAAAATGATGAAATTGCATAGGATGTGAGATGAATTGGCTGAGCTGTTGAACGATGAATGCAAGGTCAGGTCTGGTGGTAGTCAGATATAAAAGTTTTCCAACAAGCCTTTGATAAGCTGTGACGTCTTCGAAAGGTGGTGAGTTATCATCATGAAGCTTTAAGGAGGAATCGAATGGAGTAGAGCAAGGTTTAGTAGCCAATAAGCCACTGTCTTCGAGCAATTCCAAAGCGTACTTTCTCTGATTGAGAAAAATGTCGTGAGTGGATCTGGCAACTTCTAGACCAAGAAAATATTTTAGCCTACCAAGGTCCCTAATTTTGAAAGTGAAATCAAGGAAGCATTTGACATATTTGATTTCCTGCAAATCATTACCGGCTAAGACAATATCATCAACATAGACTAATAAAACAGTAAAAGAAGAGTCATGTGATTTTGTGAAAAAGGAATGATCAGCAGAAGAATATGAGTAGCCAAGAGAGATAAGGGCAGTGGATAATTTCGAAAACCACTGTCTGCTAGCCTGCTTCAGGCCATATAGTGACTTATGTAGTTTGCAAACTTTGTTGGTCGAAGAAGTGCCAACTTCGTTGGTCGAAGAAGTGCTAACTTCGTTGGTCGAAGAGGTGCAAACTTCGTTGGTCGAAGGAGTGTAAACTTTGTTGGTCGAAGGAATGCAAACTTTGTTCGAAGAGGTGCAAACTTCGTTGGTCGAAGGAGTGCAAACTTTGTTGGTCGAAGGAATGCAAACTTTTTTGGTCGAAGAAGTGCAGACTTCGTTGCTCGAAGGGCAAACTTTGTTGGTCGAAGAATTGTAGACTTCGTTGGTCGAAGAAGCAGGAAGCATGAATCCAGGAGGCAGATCCATATACACTTCCTCATGTAGATCACCATGAAGGAAGGCATTGTTGACGTCAAGTTGTTCCAAGTGCCAATTCTTAATGGCAGCCACTGAGAGAAGGGTTCGAATAGAAGTAAGCTTCGCAACAGGTGAGAAAGTGTCGAAATAATCCACCCCCTCCAGCTGAGTATATCCTTTCGCTACTAAACGTGCCTTGTATCGTTCGATGGATCCATCAGCATGATGCTTGATTTTGTAGACCCATTTGCAACCAATCGATTGTTTGCCTGCAGGCAAATCAACAATAGACAAAGTATTTGTAGATTCAAGAGCATCTAACTCAGATTTCATAGCATTGTTCCAACAATCAAATTTGCAGGCTTGTTTATAGGTTTTTGGTTCTGTGAAAGAACTTATGGATAGACAAAATAATTTGTGATCAGGATTACATTGGCTATAAGATAATATAGAAGAGAGAGGATAGTTAGAGGAACCTGAGTCAGATGCTGGCAGCATAGGGGATAGCAAATTGCAGTGATAATCTGAAAGATAAGCTGGAGATTTACTATTTCGATTGGATTTTCTGGTTGGCACAGAAGGGGAGGGGCAAGGGGAGTTGTTAGTGTCATTCGAGGAAGAAGAGAGGTTAGTGGGAGATTCTGGCTGGGGGAGAGAGGTGGGAGAGGAAGGTTCATGTGATGGTGGAGGTAAGTTGGGTGTAATGTTGGTGAAAATATCAGGTGAATCAATCGAAGGAGGGTCAGGAGTAGGAATTATAGGATTAGGTGTAGGTGGGATGGATACAAAGGGGAACACAGTTTCATAAAATAATACATTCCTTGAAATGTAAAATTCATGTGTGATAGGATCATAGAGAAGGTAGCCTTTTGTGCCTTCCCTGTAGCCAAGGAAAATAGATTTCCTTGCTCTTGGTTCGAATTTTGTGCGATGGTTAAGCAAGGTCGAAGAATAGGCAAGACAACCAAAGACTCTCATATGGCTAAGGCTGGGAGGAATAGAATGGAGTTTTTGGTATGGAGATTGGTTGTTTAAAAGAGGAGTGGGAAGACGGTTTATAATATGAATGGTATGTTGTATGGAAAGGTGCCAAAGGTTGTGAGGGAGGTGAGAGTGGAAAGAGAGGGCACGGGCAACATTCAAAATGTGTTGATGTTTTCTTTCCATGATACCATTCTGTTGAGGCGTTTCCACACAAGTCCTTTGATGAATGATTCCTTTAGAAAGGTAGAAAGTGGTCATGAGAAACTCAGGGCCATTATCACTTCGAATGCACTTGAGTTTCTTGTTAAATTGGGTTTCGATAAAGGATATGAAGTGAATTAAATGGTTTATGGTTTCACTTTTGTTAGCCATAAAAATTGTCCAAGTAAACCTGTTGTAATCGTCTACGAGGGTTAAAAAATACTTGTGGCCACATATCGAAGGTGTGGAAAGAGGGCCCCAAATATCAACATGAAGTAAATCGAAGATGGCAACAGACTTAGTATTACTGTGAGTAAAGGGCAAATGTTTTTGCTTAGCCAAATGGCAAGTGTTACAGGGCTTATGGTTGTCATTGTAGGTGACAAAAGGAAATTGAGAGGAAATACATTTGTGTTTGTAGGGACTTAAGTGTCCAAGCCTAAAATGCCAAATAGTAGCAGGATCGAATTGGGGAGAAGAGGAGGTGTTGACAGATCCAGATGTGGGAGAGATGGTTTTAGGTGGGGTGGCATCGAGAACATACAATTTGCCAATCCTCCTAGCTGTAAATCCAGTCATCTTGGATTGGGGCAACTGCATAATTTGACAGTAATTAGGAGAAAATTTCACATCATATAAAGTGGAGTCAAAAAGAGTGGTGACAGAAATAATATTGACATAAAATGAAGGAAAGTAATAAACATTGTGAAGGACAAGTGAACCACATAGTAAAACTGAACCAGCAGTAGTGGTAGTGACAGAGTCACCATTAGGCATTGTCATAGATTTAGGTGCAATGTGGTATGTGGAAACGAAACTGGCAAAGGTATAGGTGATGTGATCAGTGGCACCTGTGTCAATGATCCACCAGTTATGACAAGGAAGATATGAGGAATTCTTACCAGAGGAATTCTTACCAGAGGTATTGGACACAGAATTAGCAGTATACACTGAATTAATCGAGGGAAGTGAAGGAGATTGCAAATTAGATTGTTGGAGGAGCTGCAGAATCTGAGTGTATTGTTCTTGAATTGTAGACAAAGCACTTGGACTGGTGTTTGATGTGGATGCAGCATCTTGAATCGAATTCACTGTAGAATCAGCAGAATTCCCCACAGATGTAGTAGGCTTGCGTTGTTGAAGTCCAGGGGGATAGCCATGTTTCAAGAAGCAAGTTTCGATGGTGTGATTGGTGCGGTTGCAATGGGTACAGAGTCTATTTCCACGGCCACCACGGCTACGACCACGACTAGTGTTGTGAGGAGAACGAGAAGGTGTTTGAGAAAGGTGATTCACAGATGATTGAGATTCAATCGAAGAAGCAGAAGGTGAAAGAAGGTCGAATTGCCGTTCTTGTTGAAGAACCAGATTAAACACATTATCAAGAGTTGGTAGTGGTTTCATCAGCATAATTTGGGATCGAACATTAGCGTATTGGTCACCAAGGCCCTTCAAGAACTTGATAACTTTATCTTGTTCTTTGAATTTACGTAAGTCTGAAGCAGCACCACAGGAGCACGGTATAGCGCAAGTACAATCACGAATTGGCCGAAAGTTCTCAATTTCTTCCCAAAGCGTCATCAATTTTGTGAAGAACGAAAAGACATCAAGAGTTCCTTGTTGAAGACGAGCAACACTTTCTTGAATGTCAGCAATTCGAAAAATATCTCCCTGAGAAAAACGATTTTCCAAACTTTTCCATACAAGAGAAGCACGATCATACCAGATAAGAGATTTTGCAATTTCCTCAGAAATCGAGCGTTGAAGCCATGAGAGGACGAGATTGTTGCATCGCAGCCAAGGTTCGTATAAAGAATCAGAGGTAGGGGGAGGAGAAAGAGTGCCATCAACGAATTTGATCTTGTTCTTGGAGATAAGAGTTACTTTCATTGATCTAGACCAGATCTGGTAGTTCTTGATATCAAGAACAGGTTGAACAAGAACAAGAGAGGGATTTTCATTAGGGTGCATGTAGTAAGGATTGGAAGGATTGGTAGCAAAATCAGAGTAAGGAAGCGCCATAACAAACGCTGAAACAGCAAGGGAAGAAGAAGAAGGCGCGAAGAAGAAATGCGCGGAAAAGAGAATTCAAACTGATACCATGTTAATTTTGTAATAAACTCATAGTTTTCATTATGATTTGGAATGTACAAAACAACATTATTTATACTGTTAAAATAACAAACTGTTTAGTAACAAACTAAACAGAATTGTAACAAACTATAACAAACTAAAACTAACTGTTTAGTAATAAACTAAACAGTATTATTTTCATTATGTAATACTACACAAAGAAAATACATTACTCTCTCCATTTTTATATACTTCTTTTTTTTTTGGTGTTGTTATTTTCAACAACTCAAAATAACTTTTGATAATTAAGTAATTATTACTTTTCGCTTAATTAATATAAATGTAAAATAAATTACAAGATAAAAGTGTTGTAAAAAAAATAGTTAATGTAGCATTGAAATTTAAAAATAGATAAACTATAAGATAACAAGGATTAAAAAGAAGTTGAGCTAGTAGACAATTTATAATACAGAAGTAGTCATTGAGTTCGATAGTTGAATGTAACAGCTAGGGTTTTTGATTTTTGAAGCACAAGATTCCACTGCCACACATGCATGACTATTGGGACAGGTTGTTGAAAGCTTATAGTACGTAATAATGAGTTTTCACATTCTCAGTTTGAGAGAATACCAGAGATTTGGTTCACTATTGTGGTTGTGGCTGCCTTAGCTGGAGACTGATTTGTTCATCATGTATATCATATCCATAGCTGATTCTGATACTACTGTGTGAAGCATTGGATATTGCATATACGCCGCGCTTTGTTCCAATAACCTAATAACCAATTCTCAAACTATCATCAATGACATGTTCTTAAATTATACAATGTCTAGTCTTTCTTGATATGCTGTTTACCTTCTCTAGTTCTGCGTTTTCTTGGCCAATTTGGTTTATCTTCTTATGAAGTTCTTCATTTTCTATACTACTAAGGCTTCCCTACAATGACATAAATGGAAATCGGTAAATATTTTGTGGAAAACCTTTGAATCGTCGAAAGAAAAAAGTTAAGCCTGATTCCTGAAACCTTTTTGTGTAACTCATTGATCTCATCACTAAAAATTTGACCCTGCAGGTAAATAAATGACGGTTATATTATATTATCAAAAGACTTTGATCACCTATCTTATATATCATTCATTTAGTTCATTACTAATAGACGACGTCAGATTAAACACTCACACTTGAATTCCAAGAAATTAATACCTTTCTCGTTCGAATGTTTCTCAAACTCATCTCCATTTGAATTTCCAGATGCTGCAGCTCAGTAAAATCCAAACCTGATAGTTCTTGGCCCATCAATTGCCTGTATTTACCAAAAAGAAAGTGTATAACTCTCTCTAATGCAAAAACAATTTTCTCAGGAAAATAACTATTAGATGTTAAATATTTTACCTTTGGCTATCATTCAAGTGCTGCAATTGGTGCCTCAAGCTTGCTACTTCTCTTTGCCAAAACTAATTATTAGTAGTACAAATATGAGACGTATATATTACAAATATTTAAGCAATTCTTCTTTCGGTCACAATTATAACTCAAAATAACTATTTTTACATATATTAAAAAAGAATTATAACTCAAAATAACTATTTTTACATATATTAAAAAAGTTAGTTACATGTAATTAATTTTTTTGATTTCATATCCAATCAAATTAAAATTTATTATAATATTATTAATTATATTTGATGAATTGACTATTAACATTAAATGTTTTTTACTTAAATTAAAGGTATAGTAGTAATACAAATATTAATTAGTCTAAAACTTAATGACATTTACTCATAATTGTGACTAAAATTGAAGGTTATTTTTTTGTGCTTATAATAGTGAGTAGAGAGAATAGTCAAATTAGTGATAAGTAATAAATGTTGAATGATAAAATTCAAAGATTCACAATAGAATTTGGTCAAATCTATCTTAAACCTTTGGACGGCCAAAAACCGATCTATTTAAAAGAGAAATATACACAATATTTCCAAACAAGCACACAATCCCCTCACTGTCCACAACCCAAATACACTTAAGAATGTTTCTTCCTAAAAATTTATCTCTAACACTTCAAATCTCTCAAAGTTGGAATAAATGAATCTCTTCATCCATCACCTCCTATTTATATACCTCCTATTTGTATATTTAAATTTCTTCATGGCCAAGTTTTCATGGTGACCAAGTTTACTTGGTAACTAAAAAGGATCCAGTTCAAAAATCTTTCACTTCAAACAAAGAGATTGAACCTGACAAGTGCAACGCATGTGATATTTTTGAAAAATGAAATTCAAAATCTTCAAAGTACACTTGTCAAGTTCACCAAAGAAAGAGATAACTTAAATCTTCTCTTGAGAAATCAAAGAACTTCCTACAACAAAGTCAATCTCAACTATGAACAAAAAAAAATCTTTAATAACATTTGGAATGCCAAATTCTCCTCTTATTACAAAATATTAAAATGCAACTATTGTAATAAATAAGGATATATTTCTATGTTATGTTTTATTAAAAAATGTCATGAGAGCAAAGAAAGACATCCTCCTTCATCTCTTTATAGAATTAATTTGCTTCATTAAATGCTTATAGCTATAGTATAAAGACAAATGAAAAGAATGTTTATAAAATTAATAATATAGGACCCAAGATGATATGGATACCTAAAGTTAAGACCTAAGTTTTTATTGCATGAGTGCTTTACAGTCTCGAATGCTAAATGATACCTTGATAGTAGTTGTTCAAAACACATGATTGGTGACAAAACCTTATTCTCCTCATTCATTCCTAAGAAAGGATGTTTTTTATCTTATGGAGATAATAATAAAGGAAATTTTTGAGTTTTGGCACCGTTGATAAGTCCCCCAGTCCAACAAATGGAGAAGTTTTCTTGGTTAACGGGATAAATCGTAATTTACTTAGTATAAGTTATTTATTTGACACATGTAACAATGTAACTTTTGATTCTTCTAGTTGTCGGGTTATAAAATCTAAATCAAATGAAACTTTGTTTACGAGTTCAAGAAGTGGAAATACATACACAATAAATTTAAATAAATTTCCTTTAAATGATGTATGTCTCCTAAGTAACGAGTATGAATCTTGGCTATGACATAGGGGAATAACTCACATCCACATGGACCTCTTAAACAAGATTGTTCGCAAGGATCTCGTAGATAGTCTGCCAGACTTACATTTCAAAAAGAACACATTATGTGATGCGTGCCAAAAAGACAAACAAGTAAGTGCTTATTTTAAAGAAAAAATATTGTTTCTACATATTGGTCCTTACAACTGCTTAACATGAATCTTTTTAGCCCATCCAGAACCATAAGTCTTGGTGAAAATGTCTATGCCCTTGTGATTATGGACGACTATTCTCGCTACAACTGGATATTATTCTTATCCCACAAAAGATATGCTTTTGTCGCCTTTCAAAAATTAGTCAAGGTTATCCATAACGAAAAAGATGTGAGTATTGCATCCATTAAAAGTGACCATGGTAGAGAATTCAAAAATGAGGAATTCGAAAAAATTATGTAACGAGAATGGTATCTGACACACCTTCTCCACTCCATGAACTCTCCTAACTAAATTGGATAGTGGAGAAGAAAAATAGATATCTAGAACATCTTGCAAGGACGATGCTCAATGAGACCAATCTTTCTAAATATTTATGGGCCGATGCAGTAAACATTGTGTTGCACCCCAAAATTTGCCCTCCCATGTTCATCAAGAATTGTCAAAGTCAAGGCCACAAAATTCCCCAAGGGTTGTGCAGCTCAACTGTCTCCTATACAGTCAAAACTAGGGTTTGAGTTCTGATCAAGAAATTGAAGATTTCAAAGGCCCAATCAAGTCTCATATGCCTACAAATGTGGTCAAGCATCCTCACATCAAGTTTCAAAGCATTCAGCTCAAGATTGCACAGTCAAAACCCTAGATTGCACTACAGTCAACTGTAGGGGCAAAATGGTCATTTGACAGTCAAAAGTTCAAATTTTTGGTCAACATATCATTTTGAAGCCACAAACATCATTTGATCAATGCTTGATCATGATTCTCAAAATTTGGCTCAGAAAATCATCAAGATGCAAAAGTTGCTATATTTGGACAGCTGAAAAAGTCAACTGAAATTGACCAGGGCATAACTTTCACATGGATTATCAGAAAAATTCCATCCAAAGCTCATTTTGAAGAGAAAGACATTTCCTACAATTCATCTTCATATTTCAAGTCCAAGAAATGCTCTCACAAAAAGTTATCAATTTCAACATTATAGGTCATTTTCAAAAGTCAACAAAAAGGGACTTTAAGCCAAAGACCATAACTTGAGATTGGTAAATCAAAATGACATGGTACCAAAGGCATTGGTTAAAGGACTCAAATACCTTTCCAAAATGTCCAAGAACATGTGAAAAGCTTAAAAATTGACCAAGTTATGCCTTGTGGAAGTTGGGAAATTTTTGGGAATTTTGAAAAGTCAACAATGGTTCAAATGACCTAAAAATGCAAATGGGCCCATTTTTCTTCCAAATTTATTCATGCCAAGCCTATGCACGACCATTAGGCCCAAAGGGAAGTATTTTCATATTTTTTAATTATTTATTTGAATTTATATTAATATTAATTCATTTAAATTATTTTAATACATGAAAAATATAAACCTAACCTAAAAAAATCTTTTTATGCACATTATAGGCTCAATATCTCGTGCTTAGTCAATTATGGAAGGTTTTGGGTTGATTGGAACTAATTGACACCAAATTGCACATGATAAGATTCAAAAAGATCCTTAAGCAAATCAAATCTTCAATCAAAGATTACAAGGGATTTTATGCAGTTTTCTTGACCTAAATCGTTCCATACAAGTACTAGATGAGAACCCTAATGCCTAGAGACTGCAAGCTGCGCCCCAAGAACCATTTGCACATTGAAATTTTTCATAAAAACTCAAGAACTGAAAAGTGCCTTAGAGGTCGATTCAAGCTTCAACTTTCATTCCATTAGCATCCTGAAGCACCACTGGACGTTTCTCAATCATTAACATCAACCAAAACGCCCTGAATTGGTATCCATGAGTCAAACTGTAAAGCAAAGTTCTTGAAATCGCATAGCATAATTCAAGCATTATTTTCCATTTTTATTTATGTATTCATGATCACAATGATGTTTCTAAGCTAACCATGGTGTTTGATTGCATTTTTGTTGACCATACGCGATTTTGCCATTGCTAAAATTTAGGTTTTCAGAGTTCTTGAATTGGGGTTTCTCACCCAAGGAAAAATTGGGACTCAAGATCACTACCATTGCAATCAGCGTGCTCCAATGAACAAGAAACATTGCTCGCGATGAATTTATGACCAATAGGATGCTAATCGCTATTTTCTTGTAGGTTGCTTAAGGCCACGCATCCAAAACCGTGGCTGAAGGGTCTTGTTTCAGAAACAATGGGGAAGATGATGCGTTGGCAACCACTGAGTGGTTCATTCAAACCAGCGCGCGCTTTTAGGGGCCACTGACCAATTTTGCTTTTTGTTATTTAATTGCTATAATATATTAAATGGAACATCATGGCTCAGTGGACAGGGATGCGTGCATGTGACTCTCAAGACCTGGGTTCAAGTCCCAGGTCTGGCAAATGTTCAATATTATTTTTCAATAATTGATCCTATGCAGCGCTAACGTCCCAGTATACCATGCACACTCAAAAATTAACTAGCCACGCGTCATGGAGATCTAATCAAAGGTTCAAGTTGAAGGCATATCATGGATGTAAGTCAACATAGCTGCAGGCCGTCCAAAAGGTCAACGAAACTCAATTGGGCCAGGCTTTTCAAATCCATACCTCCTAAATTGGGGCTACACCCCACCCTGGTTTGCCTTCCCTAATCTTTTTGTTTATTTTTATTCTTGTTTTAATAATTACTTTTATTTAATTATGTTTATTTAATTAATTATTTTTAACAAAATACAAAAACACACAAAAATCAAAAAATATAAAAAATATAATATTTATTTTATTATGATTATTTTCAAATAAACATGTAAATAATTTAGTAAATTAGGTTATAAGTTTAATTCTTTTTTAACAAAAAATGTAAAAAATATAGAATTAGGTTAATAAACACTTTTTTCTTCCTTTTTAATTTTTTCCTTTTTTTTTCCCACAGTAATAATATTATTTATTTATTTTTCATAAATTAAAAATTGTACATAAATAAATTAGGGTTTAATGTAGATTATATTTTAATTCTTTCATAATAAACTTAAAAAACATTAGAACTAGGGTTTAGCATTTTAATTTTAATTAAATTTTCTTTTTTTCTTTTAAATCTAAAAAATACAAAATACCAAAAAAACATTTAATCATTTAATTTTTAATTCTCATTAACCATTAATATTTTGCAAAAGGGTCCAACGCCCTAGTTTCGTTTCAATTCCTTTACTTCGCGCATTTATTTTACAATCGTTTAAATAATTATGTAATTGTCCCTAAGCCATGTAACTTTACTTTTCGCACCTTATTTTTCCGCTTTATTTATTTTCCGCTAAATCGGGTCCGGTTTAATTTTGGCGATGTGGACCCGCGCCATTTGTAATAACCTTAGATTTATTTTCCGCAAATTTTATAACTGTTAAATATGCATGCAAGAATGAATGGCCTTAATTAAAATCAAGCGTAGATCACAACAAACATGACAAGACAAATAACTGAAACATGACACACAATTCGCACACACCACCCCTAGGGTACGCCTCACTGTTGCCTTTCGAAAGGTGGTCGTCGAGTAGAGGACGTCTTAGTAAGTCCTCATGATCCGGGAACCTGGCATGAGGGTAGCTTCTAAGGTGTCTTCCCATTGCTCTGGTGATCACCATGTCCCTAAAACTCGAATTGACCCGAACACCTCCAACGGTGGTGCTACCTACCTCTCAATGGTGGGATGGCACTACTTTAAAGGACTCTTACACAGACGAATTCCTTAGGGTAGGTAGGTTCTCAAGGATACTTGCTCTAAATTCAAAAACAAACTCAAAAATCTTTTCACCAACACATGTTCAAAAGCTTTCAAAACAAACTTTTTAAACACTCTGACGTATGAGTCGATCTGAAATTTTTTTCAAAGAAACTTTTAAACCCACATTGAAAAGCAAACAAACAATTTGAAAACACATTGAGCAAGTATCTAAGAGCCCGTAGATAACTACGGATAGAAAGGGTGCTAGCACCTTCCCTTTCTATAACCTACCTCCCGAACCGAGAGCA